ATACATATATATATACATATATATATATATATATATCTACATATTTATATACATATATATATATACATACATACATACATACATACATACATACATACACACACATACATACATACATACACAAACACACAAATATAAACCAAATGGTTGGCCCTCACATAAGATTAAGATTTTGGGATGAATTTCAATATTACTTAATATGACCAAAACTTAATCCACATTAGACCACATACATTGATAATGCATACATTTAAACATCCTTATATACAACGGTTGCATATTCTTACAGGTAAGAACATTGACAAAATTAAATAGGATTGATAACCACCTATTCACATTAGCTTGTCTACACCCATCTAAAAACAAAGAGCCTAGCTTAAGTGGATGGTCACTAGTTTCCAGAATAGTGGTCCCAAGTTTGAGTCCAACCTAATATTTTTTAAACTAAATAATCACCAGCTCCATGAGTTAAATTTGGTCTATAATTCACCTCACATAGACATATATATAATCATCTTCACAACTTCTTTGAAATTAATTGAAATGTATAAGATAAACTTATATCCATAAAAAAGTAAAAAAGAGTACAAGTACAACACCGTGGTAAAAAAACAATTTACCAAACTCATGATAAACATAATAATATGATTCAAACCAAATGGCAATTGAATTTCAAGACCAATAGACAAAATCAAGCCAAAAATAAATGAGAGAACAAAGAAAAGACATACTCTTTGCCTTCAAGTTTCACTTCAGTTCCACCATAGTCAGGCAGAAGAACAACATCTCCTTCCTTCAAGGAAATAGGTATGTGTTTCCCATCTCTATCTCGAATTCCAGGACCAATTGCCACAACTTTACCAGAGTTAAGCTACACCATGGACAGCAACAAGATAAAAATAAAGCAAATTAAAATATACTATAGAAGCAAATAAGGAAAGACAATATCGCAGTGCCAAATTTACCTTAAGCGATCAAAGATCAATCTAAATTATAAATATCTCAATAAAATCTGGAAGCTAAACAATGTAAGAGATACATCAGAAGGTAAAAGAAGGCAATCGAGAAAACAGTATAAAAACAGTAAAAGGCTCGCCTTGGCTTAAAATTACCTATAAAATTTTAAATATGACTGCGAGATATAAAGATGGAGAACATTATATTTCTGACTTAGAACATAGATGTCATTTTTTTTAAAAATTAGTTAAGATATCATTAGCCCAATCCACTAGCATCTTCAAATAACATGAGATTATACAGCAATGCCTGCGACCAGAGAGCCCAATAACGAGTAATTTCTATCACAGGGACAGTTGTAACTGAAAAATATAAACCACACAAGACAAAAATCTGAATCTATGAACAACACCTGCTAGTAATTCACATAGAAAGTGAAAAAAAGGCCTGGTAGACATAGCCGGAAGAAAAAAAAAATTCTCAATTTTAAGAGTCATCGCGAAATGTAAATAGAAATCGTCTTAATCCAGCAAGTTAAAACGAAGAAACAAGCGAAACTCCGCAAACTGAGATTATAAAAACAGGGTATTGGGCATCTAATCTTACCTTGCTGCTCTTCTCGGGAAGAAGGATGCCGGTATTTGTCTTCGAGGAAGGAACTATCTTCTCCACAAGAACGCGATTGAAAGCTGGAATCAGCCGCTTCGCCATCAGTGCTGGCAACAAAACGGACTGACCGACTGAGTGAAGGAATCGGGCTACAGTTCGGTCTGGCTAGGGTTTATCGAGGGCTTATTGCGCGTAATTGAATTACATAAATACCACTGCTTTAAAATCCCGACCGTTGTTTATTCCAAGAATATGAGGGCTTTCTAGGTGAAAAGAAATTAGGCTTGTGAATTTAATTTTCAGCTATAGTTGGTTGCTATAAAGATGAAATTTGGCCAAAAAGATTGTAGTCAATGGTTGTAATAGCGGTTCACCACAGAGGCCTTAGGATGGTTGTAATAGCAACCGTTGGCCACAAGGCAACTGAGTGGCACATAGGAACTTGACCAAAATTCAAATGAAAGACGATGCTCTAACATTGTGAAAATATTGTCACCACATTGTTGAACATGAGTGGATGTGGTGTTGGGCACCAAGAATTGGCACTTTGCCCCCACACACAAAATAAGGTATAACCTTGCAGCACCAAAGGCTTGTTTTGCGACACTAGGGCTAAAATATAGAGCCATAACCCTTGTTTTTGCTCAAAAATATGAAGGGGAGGGGTTATAATACGCGTGCTTTAACCTAAAGCCTCCACTAATAGTAACTTAAGCTATCAACTATCAGAAAACTTTAAGGGGCTCTAATGGAAGAAGAATGTGAGGGTTTTAGAGATTTTGCCTACGTGGAGAGTTCAAGGGCGTCCCTAGTGTGAAATGCTCCAAAGCTTGCTTCTCGAGACTAAGAATGCTCCTCCGACCATGAATAACTTTAGCTCTAGCAATGATGGCTCATCAAATGAAGGAGGTGAAGGTCGAAATGTGGACGAGGTGGGGTTGGATTTGCTATGGTCTGTATGAGTATTATTGGTGTTCAGAGCAAAGGGTTTAAGTGGTTGATTATGGTGATTGAGTTGTGTAGGAAGCTCTCGAGTTAGCCCCTTTTATAGCCATGAGAGGCCATGGGGGGAGCTCTAGCTTGCTTGGGGATCATTGGTAGATTCTCAAAGACAAGAAGAGGATAGCCAGAAGCTTTTGACAGAGGTAAAGTTTTTTCTCTATTTTTTATGCCTTGAGCATGGTGGCTCCAATGGAGATGAAGGTGGCATGGGGAGGACCTTGAAGTTATTGGGGGAACTTTTGGTGTGGTGGCTTGGACCAAAATTGGTTTGGTTTG